TAATGAGGGAGCGCCCAAGGTTTTACTGGAGGTGTCCAAACGACATCTCCGATAAAACTGAATTAATTCAAGAAAAAGCAGGAAAAACCCTGCTTTGTCCTAAATTAATTTGATACTCAGTTAGACCTGGGTGTTTCTGAAAGACCCGGGTCTAACAGAATATGGGCCCTGTGGGAACTGTTCAGGTGGAATCTCCTTTCCTTTTGTTGTCTGGGTTCACGGTGCCCAAAGACAGGAATTTTGCTGTGTGGACAAATCCCTCACCTGCCCCAGGACTACCAGTCAGTTCCTGTAGTTTGAAGCCATTGTTCTGCATGCTAGACTCCAGGGCAGCAGAAAACAAGCTTGCTCCCTCCTCCCTATGGCTTCCCCTCACATATTTATATATGGTCTCCTCTCAGCCTTTTCTTCCACAGCCTAAACATGCCCAGCTCTTTAAGCAGCTCCTCATAGGGCTTGTTTACCAGACCCTTGATACATTCCAGCTTGTTAACATCTCCCTTCAGTTGCGGTGGCCAGAATTGAACACAGTATTCCAGGTGTGGTCTGACAAATGCATTTTGCTTAAGGGAATAGTGGCAAAAGGAAGCACACATTGTGAGAAGTCAGTATCCAGTTAGTTCACTGTGAGAGAATAAAGCATAAAAATGGCAATGTGTGTTGTAAATTTAAGCCAAGAGTGAGGGAAATCTGGTATGATTTCCCTGAAACCCAATTTTGTGGTCCCCAAACCCTCCAGGTCAAAACAGTTAAAATGTTTTTGAGCATGCTCTCTGGAGACTCCTGCCCCTTATGACACCACTTATGATTTCAAATCTTATGGGCTAGAAGTTCTCTTTTTTGGATAAATGCATATAGCTGTTGAACACGGTTTTGTGGGTAATTTTATTTTCTTTACTTTGGTCATGTCAGGAGCGACTTGAGAAACTGCAAGTCACTTCTAGTGTGAGAACATTGGCCATCTGCAAGGACGTTGCCCAAGGGATGCCCAAATGTTTTGATGTTTTACCACCCTTATGGGAGGCTTCTCTCATGTCCCTGCATGGAGAGCTGGAGCTGATAGAGGGAACTCATCCATGCTCTCCCTGGGTTTGAACCTGTGACCTGTCAGTCTTCAGTCCTGCTGGCACAGGGGTTTAACCCACTGATGCAACAAAAGCTTGGTTTTTTCTGCTTTTCTCAAGAAGCATGGCATGCTCTTCATTTATCAGATGCCTATCCAATCCAGTCAGGTGTATAGGCCAGTAGGGTCAAATAGGCTGCTATAAGTTTTGTGTAGATTTTGGCAACAAATACACAAATTACTGAAGTGCTTAAAGAATAGGGGTAATCACTCTATCTTCACAAATGATTTCTTACAGTTTTTCAGTGACATTTGTAGTAGATAGCATCTTAAAGTTGCCAACTCAGATAGCAAACATTTATAACTTTAAAACATCCCATGCACAGCACTGATACTTTGACTAGATTGTGGCCATTCAGTTCACTTCATATCTAATATAGTTAAAACTGAGTTGTCTAGAGCAGTGTTTTTATAGAACAGATAATATCTGGCTGTGCCATGTGGCAATACATAACACGGATAGAAAAAAATAAACTTCAGTCAGTGCAAAAGTCATTGAGGACACAGTCATGTAATTGGATCGAATTTGCAAGGATGAAATGACATGCTCTTAGAATACTGTCTCTTGATACAGGGTATAGATGGTACAAAATTAGCTGCCCAAGATGCACATGGGAGGAAACAACTTGATTCTTAAGGCTTCAATAAGCAATATTTTGGTGCAGACTTTAATCGTGTACTAGTTAGTGTTAATTCCAGAGGCTACTCCTTTACTACACAACACAAATCAATTCTGCTCTCATTTTAGGAGGGATAATAATGTCTACTTATTAGACCTGTCACTCAGTTTAAGATATCTTCATTGATTTTTTTTTAAAGTGAGTTTCTGTAGCATGTCTTCAAAAGGTTTTCAGTTTATTAACCCTAAGGCAAATCAATCTTGGGAGTTTTGTGGCATGCTTTCTTCAAAAGGGGTTTGCCATTGCCTTCCTCTGAACCCGAGAGTGTGACTTGCCCATAGTCACCCAGAGGTTTTCACAGGTAAACAGGGATTCAAACCCTGAACTCCCAAGCCCTAGTCCATGACTCAAGCTACTATACCACACCGGCTCAAAACAAATTGTGTTGTCTAATTACATTTGTTTTAATCCATTGATCATTAATATTAACAAAAGGCTCTGATGAGTAGTTAAAACAGGTTTTGTTCATATATCCTTGCCATCACTATACTACTATACATAAAAGTAAAGGTAAAGGTTTCACCTGACCTTGTCTAGTCGTGTACGACTCTGGGGGGTGGTGCTCATCTCCATTTCTAAACTGAATAGCCGGCATTATCCATAGACACCTCCAAGGACATGTGGCCAGCATGATTGCATGGAGCACTGTTACCTTCCCACAGAAGCAGTATCTACTGATCTACTCAGATTTGCATGTTTTCGAACTGCTAGGTTGGCAGAAACTGGGTCTAACAGCGGGAGCTTATCCCGCTCCCTGGATTCAAACTGCCAACCTTTTGGTCAGCAAGTTCAGTAGCTCGGTAGTTTAACCCGCTGCACCACAGGGAGACCTACTACTATACATATTCATGTATAAATCTAAAAATGTTCATAAAACAATCAGCCCAAATAACCTGGGCTGGCTTATCCATGGATCAATGTAAGTACTGTACTTTAACTCTTATCCAAAAAGGAATAAATTCCTTCTCAGAACAGAGTTGTAAACAGTGGAAGCTTAGTCCATTCTTAGAGAACCTGAAAGAAGCACTCTATCTCAGCATGATATCTGGTCTTTTTTAATACCTGGTTGGGAAAATGTCAGTGGCAATCCCTGAGATGATGCTGGCACTTTTCTCTCTTGGTAGAATTACCAGCAATTTATCCATGGGTCATATAAAAATCCATAATTTTGGCTCCAAAACCTGCCCTCAACTTAATGTGGTTAACATATTCACAAGTCTATCCAGTATTGCTATAAAGGGAAGGGAGAATGTCTCCTCCAAAATTGTATCTACCACCTGAAACTTTTACTACAACTGAAAACAGCAACCCCCTTTCTCTTCTGTTGTCACATTCATGACATAATACATAAATTTATCAAGACAACAAAAAGGTAAGTAGGGGAGAGGTGAGGAAATTCATTATCTGATAACATAATGCCACAGATTATCAAAGACAGTGAAACTGCTTGGCTCATATTTTTTGCCTTCAATTATTTTGGTCTAGTGGTACCAAAGATATGGGAATTGATTTAGTTAGGAATGGCATCTTCCTAAAGCATCCCTGTAATTCAGAGGTGGCAATAGGGTATTTGATAGTATATTAAATATGTCTCATTACATTCACAATCAATTTCTCCTCTGTCCAAGATGATTATTTTCAGAAACTGATACTTTCTTTAATGATTTTGCAGTAACAGCACAACTAGTAAAAAAAAGTTGACATTGAATTCTGGATATGTCTTTCACAGTAGGATTGGTTACTTGTTAGAAAAACCAAATGTGATAGATATAAATGTGTAAGATTGATCTGAAGTTCTTTTATATATTGTTGTGTGATTTTAATGGTAGCATGCTCAGTGGTTTTTTTATGTGTCTTCTGTGCCTTTATGAAGAAGGTTTTCCTTTTGCTTCATGGAATTAAGATACTTCTTTGATTATTTTATGATCAAATAAATCTTGGGTACTGGCTATAAAAATATTGCCATTCTGTAGTCCTTTGTTCCTTCTTTCTTTGCATTTTGTGCTGTCTGCCCCCATCATCAAGTGTATTATTGATTCAAACAATTCTTCATGCTGCTTCTCTGAACAGAAATCATATTAAATCCCTTGGATATCTGCATTATCCCAATGGATAAGTGAAAAAGAATCTTTTCACCATAATCTAGTCTTCGTAGCATTTCAAACTGTGATCACTGCTTCTAGTGATCCTTGGTTGTTTGGGGGCATTACAAATTAGTTATAATAAATGGCTAGGGAGAAATTTAAAACTGTAGTTCCATGCTTATGTATGTTTGTGCAAACAATATGATACATGGGTTGCTGTTGAATTTTCCAGGCTCTATGACCATGTTCCAAAAGCATTCTCTCCTGGCATTTTGCCCACATCAATGGTAAGCATCCTCTGATGTTGTGAGATCTGTTGGAAACTAGGAAAATGGGTTTTATATATCTGTGGAAAGTCCAGTGTGGGAGAAAGAACTCTTCTCTACCTGAGGCAAGTGCAAATGTTGCAATTGACCAGCTTGATTAGCATTGAATGGCCTTGCAGCTTTAAAGCCTAGCTGATTTCTGCCTGGGGAAATCCTTGGTTGGGAAGTATTAGCTGGCCCTGATTGATTCATGTCAGGAATTTCCCTATTTTTGAAGCCATTGAAATCCACAAGCATGTGGACAGTTTCAACAAAAAGGAGGAAACCATGAAAATAAACAAAATCTGGCTACCAGTATTAAACAACTATAAAATCAGGACAGTAAATAAAGAGGAATACTAAAAAAAGGGGGATTCCTGACATGAAATAATCAGGGCCAGCTAACAACTCCCAACAAAAGGGCAGCAACCAGCCAGGCTTTGAAGCTGCAAGGCAATTCAATGCTAATCAAGCTGGCCAATTACAACATTCACACTTGCCTCAAGCAGACAAGAGTTCTTTCTTCCACCCTGGACATTCCACAGATATATAAACCTCACTTGCCTAGTTTCCAACAGATCTTTCAACCTCTAAGGATGCCTGCCATACATGTGGGCAAAATGTCAGCACAGAATGCTTCTGGAACATGACCATACAGCCCGGAAAACTCACAGCAACTCAGTGATTCTGGCCTTGAAAGCCTTAAACACGTTAAATATGATACATGCAAATGTGTGTAAGGAATCCATGACAGATATATGTTTATTACAAGTGGCTTCTCCTTGTTCACAGCAAATGACCACAAAAACATATTTATTAATCTTTATTAATACAAAACTTAGTAAAAAAAATACTTAATTCTGTACATTCAAGAAATTGCACTGATCGCACTATACAAAATGGTTACATAGAGAAGGATGAGCAAACTGAAATGTGAGTTCACAAATTAAAACAGACTGTCTCTTCCTAGATCAGTGGTTCTCAGCTTGTGAGTTCCCGAGTGCTTTGGCCTACAACTCCCAGAAATCCCAGCCAGTTTTCCAGCTGTTAGGATTTTTGGGAGCTGAAGGTCAAAACATCTGGGGACCCACAGGTTGAGAACCACTGACCTATGGGATACCTATTGCATTGATTTACTTGCCTTACATTCTTTTCTCGCCACTAAATTTTCCCTTTTTCAGTTGATCATGCATCCACACATGGCCAGTCAAGCATGAGCAAGGCACACATGTTACAACTTAAGAAGGACACATGGTAATATAAAATGTTCTGTAACTATTATTTTGAAATTATTCAAGAAAAATCAAATTATGTCAAACATAATGACAAAAATAGTTACAGCACAGTGATGTTAAACAGTGCATGCCTTCATACTAGCAACATGATATAAGACTGTGTTTGCACACTTTGTACTCATTATGTGATAGGATTAAGTTTGCATATTCTTTGAAGAAATCAAAACGACTGCTTCCAAGTAATACATTAGGCTATATGCAATGTCTTTCTTAAAAACAAACAAGCCTACAGCCTTCCTTAAATCAAGCTTTAACACGGTTCCTTCTCAGGTTTGATCAATGGTAGTTATAAACCTGTGTTTGGCATTTCTCCTCAACAGATTTAATTTAAAACACAAGTATGGAAGCAGCACAGCTAACAAAACATCAAACTTAATGGGACAAACTTGCTTATTTTACTGTTAATGAGAGCATCACTCTGCTTGGAGTTAAGACAGAATAACCTTGCATCGTTTTGTCCCATGCAATTTAGGAGAAGCTTTTCAATTTAGCAAAGGAAACCCTGGGCAATTAGAAGACACAACAAGACTTTTCATTTGCATTTCTTCCAATAATATGTAAAAGTCATTATGAAGCTGAAAACACCTGTTCACTATCGAGAACTCTGCATCAGACATAGTCAGTCGAAATGGTGATTGCCTTATGAATAAGCTGTGGATAGCTCCTTCTCTCAAAACTGAAATTTCAAGCAGTTTGTTTTCTTCATGGGGCTAAATCCATTTCAAGAAATGTCTCTGTGTGTGAAGTCATTTAGGAACACTCAGCTTGATGTCCAAATCAGCTATTTGCACTGTCAAGGAATAAAAGAAATCCAATCAATTATAAATACTATAAAGAATTGTTGTCAAAATGTTGGTAGAATGTGGAACTATATATAAAATTATTCCTACTACAATTTTATATAGCCATTGCAACTATCAAAATTTAACCTTGTTTGCAGTTTGACAATAAATTTTATAGATTTCAACTCCCCTTTAAACCCTTTTTGTTTTCAAAATGGGGAATAGCCATTCATGTTTGCAAACCAATAGAAAACAAGTTTCTGAATCAATTAAGAAGTGATGCTGTATTGAATCTACTAGATACAGTAGAGTCATGCTTATCCAACATAAATGGGCTGACAGAACGTTGGATAAGCGAAAATGTTGAATAATAAGGAGGGATTAAGGAAAAGCTTATTAAATGTCAAACTACATTATGATTTTACAAATTAAGCACCAAAACATCATGTTTGACAACAAATGGACAGAAAAAGTCATTCAATACACAGTAATGTTATGTAGTAATTAGTGTCTTTTATAAATTTAGCACCCAAACATTGCAATATATTGAAACAGCTGTGGATCCGGGTGAGAGGCAGACTGCATTGGATAACACAGAATGGTGGATGAATGAAGATTGGATAAGCAAGACTCTACTTTTGACTGACTTTAAACAAGGTTGTCTGGTACTACTAAATTGAAGACATCAGATAAGAGAAATTACAAGCTTATTGTAGTTTTAGCTGTGAAAAGTTGTAGTCGTGGGATACTGAAGATCTTGATAATTATGAACATTTAGTCTGGCTAGTTCAACTAGCATCAATGAGACCATACCGAAATCTCTTTTGATTCATCTTCCCAGATTAAATATGTGCACAGATGAAACTCAAACCAAGTAATATCAATGGGAGTTATTTCCAGATTTCTGAGCTAGATCCAGATTGGTCTCTTCACAAACAGAAGGTTCTCTTCCATTAATGGAAGACACTTGGGTCAAGGGAAAGTTTACTTCTGGAGGAAGGGCATGAGGACATAGAGACATGGTTTGGCATTCAGTACTCAAACTCAAACTCATTGGGTTTATTATGATGTTAATTTTAGCTGTGAGTTACTCTCTACAATTCTTTAATGTAGAAACTGACCAATTCACAAGATATTCCTCTAAATCTAGGAGGATATAAATTCAACGAAATTGTGTCTCTCAGAAAAAAGCAACTCTTACCTACTGGCTGACAAGGTTTTCCTGCCAACATTCTGAGGTGTTGGTTCACAGTGGAAAAAGCTTTTTATCCACCAACATTTTTCAAACACATCAGGTAAACCTAAAAATGTACATAACAGAGTGTCAGTGAATAACTGAGCAATAAAACTCCAGGGTCACAAAAAGACTATTAATTTTAGTGACTCAGAAAGTTCAGAGAAAGCGAAGTACACTTCAGCTCGCTGAAAATATAGAGAACTAAACGTACAAATGATTCCCACAAGTGCACTCAACTATTCCAATTATGGCTAATAACTTTTAAAGAGCCAGCATACCGTGGAAGTGTTTGTCTTGGTCTGAGAAGGTCATGGGTTCAGAACAGCAAGATGAACTGCTTGAAGAAACACTGGAGTCGGAATTCAGTCGTGCTGTGTGTGAAAAATAAATTGTATGTTAGCTTTGTGAAAAAGGAGAAAAACAACACTTTTCATCCAACATTTTAAAAGATATGGGATTCTCTCTCCATCTTTAACACAGTGCAATATTTGTGTATGTTACAATGGGGAAAAACCTCTTCAAATGATAAGAAATATATGCTATGCTTATTTTTTCCATCAAAGTCTAGTCTTCTACCCCTTTGTTATTAAATGACAACTGCTTTGACAGAAGAAAGGAGCTACATATGGGAAAACTTAATTGATATAGTTAAGTATATTAAATACATTCAAAGAAGAATAGATTAAAAGCTTCTCCTATGGGACTTACTCAAATGTCAGTGGAATTATAGTTAAGAACAGACAAATCAAGTAACTTGCTGGGAAAACTGCATTGAGGAGGCACCAGAACCAAGAAAGACCTGCAACAGTCTATAAACCAGAAATGCGCAAATTTTGGCCCACCAGGTTATTTTGGACTTCAACTCCCACAATTCCCAACGGCCTACCATCTGTTAGGAATTGTGGGAGGTGAAGTCCAAAACACATGGAAGGCCAAAGTTTGGCCTTCTATATACCCAATTCTCTTTCAAGTAATTAAACAAATGTATCAAATGTTTCTCTTAAATGAAAAAGGCTGCAAGGCAGATGTGTGTGGTCAATACTGTATCCATGTTTATGGTAGGAAAGGAGTATTCACTGAATATTTACATTAACACCTATTCAAACTAATAGCATTTATATCAATTGCAAAGATTGGATCCATATGTGCATATCACAGCAATATAACATCAAGTGGGCTCTTGGTGTCTGCTGAGGATTGGTTCCAATATCCCCCATAGATATCAAAATCCCATTATATGCAATGGCATTGTAAATTGGTGTCACTTATATAACATGGCAAAACCAAGGTGCAATTTTTGCATTAAAAATATTTTCAAGCCTTGCATGGCAGAATTCATGAATATGGAGTGCTGACTGTATATGCAGATTGTGCGTTAGTGTCTTGAAATGGACTACAAATACGATTAGAGAGAGCGAGAGTCTAGTAAACTGATCAAATGTACCAAAGGCATTTCTTGCTTGCACTTTTGGGTTTAGGGTCAATCCTGAACACAAATTTCAAAACATGTCATCCTGTGCCCTTTATACAGAAACACACAAGTTTTGGAGATCATGTCATTGGTCTTCAATTGTAAAACAAGAAACTTACTTCGGTAGTACTGGTTCTTGGCTGCAAGGCAGCCAGCTGAGGGCACTGATGCCATCACAGTGGTCCTTTGGAGTAGTAAGAAGCAAGACTTATATCTAGGGGCACCTGCAAGTCAAAAGAAATGGGAAAAACTTTGTTAACAGTGTACACCAGGATACAGATCTCTGTTATACTTTATTGCAGACTTGTAATATAAATCACAGATCTGGGATAGTTTGGCTTTCTTGTAGGAAACAAAAAATCATTTTGGATAGTAAGTTCTGTATATAGATCTTTCTTATATGTGTCCCAAGATCCAGAGTCTTATGCTCATCACATGAACATAAACTCCTTAGCTTATACTGCTTCAAAAACATAAGTATATCTGTATGCATATGGAAGTAAATGTCCATACAATTATTGTTGTTATATGACTTCAAGTTGTTTCCAACTTGTGGAGACCTGTCAGGTTTTCTTGTCAAGATTTGTTCAGAGAAAAATTGCCTTTCCCTTCCTTTGAGGCTGAGAGTGTGTGACTTGACCAGGCTCATCTAATTCTGTGGTTGAGTAGGGATTCAAACCCTGGTCTCCAGAATTGTAATCCAATTCTCTAACCATTCCACCACACATGCTCTTTGTGAACATATAGAAGTCACCATGCAAAAACTCCTCAAGAAAAAAGGACTTTATCTTACACCCAAATTGAGACTATTTGTCCATCTAGTTTAGAAGTATCTGCTTTGATTGGGAGCAGCATTCCACAGCTTTCTGGCTGAAATATTTCACATTAACTATTACCTGGAAATATCCAAAATCAGTGTTGGGAGTTACTGTGCATAAAAGCAAGTGCTCCATCACTTTGCTTTTTCTACAATTGTGTTTTCTAATCTATGCACTGACTTCTCCGGCAGCCCACAGTGTACCAAACAGACTTCTATTTCCATATAATATTCAAGATCAGGTCAAGATGCCTGCACATCATGTAGGCTGCAAAATCCTGAACATCAGAGCCCCCCCCCCCCCACCCCAAAAAAAAGTTTCTTTTTGTACATCTACTTCTTAACTGCTATGGACTCACCAATGTTGCAATTTGGTGAAGCATCAGCACTCCGTGGTAGAGAAGGCTACAAAATTTGTAAAACTACAATCCCCATAATTCCATAACCTTGAGCCAATAGCAGTTATAATGGTGTCAAACTGCAGTAACTCTACAATGCAGATGCAATTGTGTTAACTCAAAATCATAATACAGGAGGGCAAGTACTCCAATTCAGTCCAAGCATAACCTTTGAAAATCAACTGTCATAGAATCATAGAGTTGGAAGAGACGTCACAGGCCATCCAGTCCAACCCCCTGCCAAGAAGCAGGAAAATTGCATTCAAAGCATCCCCAACAGATGGTCATCCAGCCTCTGCTTAAAAGCCTCCAAAGAAGGAGCCTCCACTGCTGAACAGCTTTCTCAGTCAGGAAGTTCTTCCTAATGTTCAGGTGGAATCTCCTTTCCTGTAGTTTGAATTATTTCAATTATTTCTGGAAATATACTTTTCTGCTTCCTACTACCAAACTCCAGACCACCCGAGGAGATACTCATCTATAAACAACATACCTCCACAGCACCCCAGGGAAAAGAGGAGGAGAAGACAGGCATGAAAGGTGTATTGACATTGCTCAACACTATGTAACAAAATTTGAAAAATGCTCTATCCCTGGTTTGAAAGTATTATTCCCATTTAAATTTATGGCACTTAACTCTGAAAGTAGTTATTATATTCCAGAAACGTTGTTTTCGTGGCGGCCACAAACTAGTTGAATTGGTTGAGATATTCATTGAAAAGGTATAGAAAAATGTGCTGCAGGATGTCCCACAAAAACTAAGGCCCCTTCTACACAGCTGAATAAAATCCCACATCATCTGCTTTGAGCTGGGATATATGGCAGTGTGGACTCAGATAACCTAGTTCAAAACAGATATTGTGGGATTTTTCTGCCCTGATATTCTGTGTCATATGACTGTGTGGAAGGGTCCAAGTTTTGGCAGTTCAATAAACTTTTCCCATGTTTTTATGACAGCACCAATTAGGAAACAACAATCATGTATGATTAGTGGAGCTTAACACTATTTCCCCATGGTTCCATACTATGGAATCTTAGGAGTTGTAGTTTGACAAGGGACCCTTCCATATAGCCATATAACCCAGAATATCAAGGCAGAAAATCCCACAGTATCTGCTTTGAAATGGATTATCTGAGTCCACACTGCCATATATTCCTGTTCAAAGCAGATAATGTGGGATTTCCTGCCTTGATATTCTGGGTTATATGGTTTTTATAGAAAGGCCTAAGGAGGTCTTTTGCCCTCTCAGCCAAAGAGCGCTGGTGCCTCCCCAAACTCCAACTCCTAGGATCCCATAGCCTTGAACCATGACAGTTTGCATTAATTCTCCAGTGTAGAAAGGGGGAAGTAGACTTCAATTACCTGGATGGCCCCGTTGCCTGCTTCTGCAACAGCACCCTTTCCCTCGAAAAAGAAGCTTTTCTTTCCCGAAGATCCGAAGTTTCGAGTTCTGCAAACAGCCCACGCTTCTGTTGGGGCAACTTCAGCCACAAGACGCAGAAGGTCTCAAGGTTTGCTGGCCAGGAAAGGACAGAGGAGCCTCTCTCCCTTTGCAGCCTGCCTGATTGCCCTGCCTTGCTCCTGCCTGGCTTTATATGGAGGACCTTTTGGGTTGCGGGCGGGGAGGGGGGGGTGACATTTGAGAAGGGCGGCGCAGAAGCCTGGCTCATGGTTCAGCCCCGTGGAGCCTTGTCCTCGCTCAACCCGGGTCAGGGCAGCCGGAGCACGCTTTCCTCCCTCCCTCCCTGTCTATAACAACGGCAAGGACAACAACAAAAGTGCAAGGAGCGCGATGGGGACACGCGTCGCCCGAATGACTGAAGGGGGCGGGACGCGTGCTCTCCTCGCAAGGCAGCCTTCTTCCAAGAGTCGCATTCTTCCAGCGGCCTTTATGCCTGGCATAAACAATATGCCCAAGCTGGAGACATAAATACAGAAAGAGACGCTTCTCTCGTTATGTTAGAGCCCAAGGGTCATCCAATGGACCTTCAGGAATGGAGGAATCTCAGGGTGCATCAGGCATGGACAAACTTCGGCCCTCCGGGTGTTTTGGACTTCAATTACCTACCGGCTGTTTGGAATTGTGGGAGTTGAAGTCCGAAACACCTGGAGGACCAAAGTTTGCTCATGCTTGGTTGTCAATGCATCCTTCATTCCTGGCTAAAGGTGCACCTACAGTAGTGGTTCTCAACCTTCCTGATGCTGCAACCCCTTCCTCATGTTGTGGTGACCCCCAACCATAAAATTATTTTCGTTGCTACTTCATAACTGTAATTTTGCTATTCTTATGAAGGTAAGGTAAAGGTTTACCCCTGAGATTAAGTCCAGTCGCATCCAACTCTGTGGGTTGGTGCTCATCTCCGTTTCTAAGCCAAAGAGCTTGCATTGTCCATTGACATCTCCAAGGACATGTGGCCATGACTGCATGGAGTGCCATTACCTTCCCTTCAGAGTGGTACCAATTGATCTACTCACATTTGCATGTTTTCATACTGCTATGTTGGCAGAAGCTGGGGCTAACAGATGGAGCTCACAACGCTCTCAGATTCAAATCTACAACCTTTTGGTCAACAGGTTCAGCAGCTCAGCAGTTTAACCCACTGCACCACCAGAGACTGATGAATTGTAATGTAAATATCCAATATGCAGGATGTATTTTCATTCACTGGACCACAAATACTGGGCACAAATACCGGGTATGCTGAAATCTGAATATTGGTGGGGTTGAGGGGGAATTGATTTTGTCATTTGGGAGTTGTAGTTGCTGGGATGTATAGTTCACCTGCCATCAAAGAGCATTCTGATCTCTGTGGACTCAAACAATGATGGATCTGGACCAAACTTGGCATGAAACCTCAATATGCCCAAATGTGAACACTGGTGGAGTTGGGGGGAAATTTACCTTGACATGTGGGAGTTGTAGTTGCTGGGATTTATAGTTCACCTACACTAAAAGAACATTCTGAACTCCATCAACAATGGAATTGAACCCAAACTTGGCACACAGAACTACCATGACCAACAGAAAATACTGGAAGGGTTTGGTGGGCGTTGACCTTGAGTTTTGGAGTTGTAGTTCATCTACATCCAGAGAGCACTGTGGACTCAAACAATGATGGATCTGGACCAAACTTGGCACAGATACTCATTATGCACAAATGTGAACACAGATGGAGTTTGGGAGGGAAATAGACCTTGACATTTGGAGTTGTAGTCACTGGGATTCACAGTTCACCTACAATCAAAGAGCATTCTGAACCCACAAACGACAGAATGGGCAAACTTCCCACACAGAACCCCCACGACCAACAGAAAATACTTAATGCCATCCAATCCAACTCCCTTCATCAGGGCAAGAAAATGTAATCAAAGTCCTCCTGACAAAGAGCCATCCAGCCATAGATAGATAGATAGATAGATAGATAGATAGATAGATAGATAGATAGGGAATTGTAGTTGCTGGGATTTATAGTTCACCTACAATCAAATAGCATGATAGAATTGAACCAACCGGGCATACAGGACTCCCATGACCAACAGAAAACACTAGAAGGGTTTGGTGAGCATTGACCTTGAGTTTGGGAGTTGTAGTTCACCTACATCCAGAGAGCACTGTGGACTCAAACAATGATGGATCTGGACCAAACTTGGCACAAATATTTCATATGCCCAAATATGAACACAGATGGAGTTTGGGGGAAATAGACCTTGACATTTGGGAGTTGTAGTTACTGGGATTTATAGTTCACCTACAATCAAAGAGTGTTCTGAACCCCACCAACAACAGAATTGGGACAAACTTCCCACACAGAATCCCCATGACCAACAGAAAATACTCAAGGCCATCCAGTACAACTCCCTTCACCAGAGAAAGAAAACGTAATCAAAGCCCTCCTGACAAAGAGCCATCCAGCCATAGATATAGGTAGATATGATTCACACAGAGAGATATGGTATCATAGATTTGAAAGGGACCCCTAAAGAAGGACAAGTATATGTTGCATGTTCCAGAGTAGGCAAACCAGACAATCTCCACGTCAACACTGACAAAGAAACAGCAAGAAATACTCTTTACCCACGCAGAAAGAAATTACATATATTAGAAACCAACACTTTCTCATTACTTTATTTTCCAGATCAACAGACTGGGCCACAGCAACGCGTGGCAAGGGACAGCTGGTTATTTATAAATCGCTTTTCTCACCCCTGGAGGGACTCAAAGAGGTTTACACAGAAACAATGGCAAAATTCAATGCCTTACATATGTAAATCAAATCACAAATTTTACTTGCTTGTTTGTTTTGTTTTATCTTGTCACTGCACATGGTATTGCATGTTTGTCTTTTGTTTTTGGAAGCCACCCTGAGTCCCCTTGGGGAGAGAAGACAGGTTAAAAATAAAATTGTTGTTGTTCTTGTTGTTGTTGTTATTTCTTTATGTAGTGCATCATCAAATGAAACTGTGGAATTTATTGTCACAAATTTAAGTGATAATTAGACAAAATCCACAGAGGAAGAATGATACCAATGACTTTGAATTAAAATGGTACAAGCTTATTCAGAATTCTGGAATCCAAATTTGTTAATTGAAGTATACCTGTGTTTCACAGCAAACATCTCCAGATGATTTCATTCTAGTCCTGTAACAAAGGCCTCCAGCCACAGACCAGATCTCCTCATCTGTTACCTCTGGATATATTGTACAAATATCCAGAATTTCAAAGTCAAAAAATTTCAAAATTGTCCTGATGCTTGGCTGAAATAGTGAAACCTTTTTTTAAAATGGTTTGGTGAGCACAAACTTTGTTTCATGAGCAAAACCATGTTTATTTCCAGTTCATGGACTTCTCATGTGGACCTGTATGGTTGGCCACTGTATGAACAGAATATTGGTTTAAATAAGCATCTCTTCAGTGTGATCCAACATGGCTCTTATTTTATGCTTATATTGTTAATGTAGACTGTATCTACACTGCCATATAATCCATTATCAGAATACAGATTACCTACATCAAAGTGGATTATATGACTAATATAATCTAATTTGATGTAGTTAATCTGCATTCTGAAACTGGATGATACGGCAGTGTAGATCCAGCCATAATTACACTACCAATCTGCAGTGACAGTAATTTCTTATTTCTTATTCAGCAAGAGGTACCCAGTACTTATAGGGGTCATGGTAGCGCAGCAGGTTAAATCGCTAAGATGCAGAACTTGCTGACTGGAAGGTCAGCAGTTCAAATCTGTGGGATGGAATGAGTTCCCGTTGTTAACCCCAGCTTCTGCCAACCTAGCAGTTCAAAAACATGCAAATGTTTACATTATTTGTACGCCACATTTCCCATGACCCCCACATGCTGGCCACATGACCTAGTGTCTACGGACAACACTGGCTCTTCAGCTTAGAAATGCAGGTGGACACCACCCCCAGAGTCGGACTTGATTACATTTAATGTCAAGGGGAAACCTATACTTTTACCCAATACTTATTGCCTAATGAGGCTTTGGTGTTTTGTTTTGTTTTTTACACTTTTGCATAGGGCTCCACACTTTAGTAATATTGCCAATACTGACTAATATAAACTAGTAAAAAAAGCATGTCATGTTAAAAGAGGACAAAAGAGAACAGGGATTTGCATAAGATTTGCACATACTGATTTATACCTTTAGAAAGAATCACTATACTTTAAATGAAAGATAAATATCAGAATGGGAAAGACTGTGGCCAAGTGGCCTGTGGGTTTGTTCAGTCTGGTCTCCAGACACTCTTAATTGGCAATTTCAAGGCTCCTGCACTCCACTCTTATGGCCCTTCATCTCTGAATTAAAAATTCAACAGGATAACCCTTCAATTGAAGGACAGAGCTTTGTAAAGTAGGACACAATAGCATACATATGAATGTATAGAACTGTAAAAGGAAAGTCATTTTCCTCTTCACTCTATATTCTTTTCAAAGGATTTGAAGAGAACAGTAGCATAATCCCAGCAGTTTTTATTAACCTTGTACTTAACTGTTTAAAGAATATTGTATGTACTAAAAGAAGCAATGCTATATAAATGTAGTGAACAAATGTTCAAATTATAGTGCACTAGGTGAGAAGTATTAAGAAGGGGCCAGGTAGCTCATGCCAGAATTACCCATACAGTGGGGCTTCAGTATCTGCCGGAGTTTGGTTCAGGACCCTTCTGTGGATACCAAAATCTTGGGAGGCTGAATAGCTCTTATATTCAGTGGCATGGTAAAATGATGACCCTTACATAAAATGGCAAACAACTCAATGAAGTGCCAGAGGATCAGTGAAATGGCAGAAGCTACAACAGGAGAGATCTACACATCAGTATAGTGTGCAGCATGTGGAAAAATCAAGATATGCTGTTTGGATTATTTTTCCCAAACCTTTTCAGCTATGGTTGGTTGAAAGCTGTGGATATGGAGAACTTACTGTACACAAATCAAACAGAAGGTACATAACAAACAAACACATCTTTATTATGGTCATAGGCCAACAGAAGGTACGCATTAGAGAGCTGGTAAAACAACTGCCATGGGATCAGCAAATCCACTATTGATTTCCCTG